TGCTGCTGGGCCAGGCTGAGGCAGCTGAGGCTATCTGAGGTGGCTGGGGCTTTGCGCCGCACTGCAGCACCCCCCCAACTCACATGCGGCCTGTGCCAGGCCTCCCAGGGCCTCCCCCACCCCCCCTGCAGCACCCCCGCACTCCTTACCTGGGATTCTCTCCACTTAACAATCTATGATTCTTGGTTAACGATGGCAACCGGGAGTGCCAGGATTGCAGTCGCTAAGTGATGCGGTCATATGATGATTCACTTAATGACTGCATCGCTTAGTGACAGAAATTCTGGTCCCAGTTGTGGTAGCTAAGCGAGGACTACCTGTATTCTCTTTTAACTGAAGAACATCAAATGATAGCTCTCTCAAATGAAATCATTTATTTTATTATTTCCTCCTTGCAACTATTTAGACTCCATGACAGTGAAACTGCAGATCTTGATGAAGGTGGCCCTTCAGGAAGTCCAGACTTATTGAAGGAGTTATGCATTGGAGTAAGGAAAACAATCAATATTCAGACTGCAAGGAACCTGCAAGCTCCTCACACTGCTACTGTAAGGAACATACCTCCAGGCCATTTTAAAGCAAGCAGAGAGATACTGTATATGAGAATCCCTTTCCATGGGTTACCCGGTGCTTCTTTTTGTCTTTTAAAGGCGTAACAATTATTATCTTCTGCCCAGAAGCTTGAACAAGCAGTTTATAAGGTATAAAAATAAATCAAAATTCTTCATGAAAAACCCAACAGCAATATCTACAGGACCATAAATAAGTCTTAGTTCAGTATATAACCATAATATTCTTGTCCAATATAGCATTTCCTTCTTATGACAACAATAATGAATCTATTATCATACAGTCAGGACCAGAAATATTGGAACAAGGATAACTGTTTTGGCATTTGACCTCTGTACACCACCACATTGAAGTTGAAAGGAAACACACCTAGATGGGAGCAAAGTCAGGACTTTCACCTATAATTCAAGGGGTTTGACAAAAGTGGGGCACTAACCATTCAGGAAGTACAGCCAATGGCATACACACACACCCATTGTTGGTGGCTCATAAGTAATGGAACAAATGACTGACAAGCAGCTGCATGGCCAGGTGTGGCCTGTTTCCTGGGTACCCCACGACCAATCAAGCAGATAAAAGGCCTGGAAGTGGTTTTGAGTGTTATATTTGCATTTAGTAGCTCTTCACTGGAACTCTCAATGTGAAGCTCAAAGAGGTGTCCATGCGAGTGAAGGAGGCCAC